TATTTTAAAACTGGACTAGGACCTGATCATGCAATGGGTTAAATTTTTAATTTTCCACATAGTGAAATTATAATAATACAATAATAATAATAATAAAATAATAATAATAATAAATAAATAAATAAATCATAAATAATGTAAAAAATACTATTAAAATACCTATATAGCAATCATTCTTTATAAGACTCAAAAGTTAAATAAATTTATTGCCTAGGTTACATTTAAAAGACATACAGAAAAACCCTAGTGAAAATCTATCTAATATATAAATTGTAATAATATAATAATTTTCAGTAAAAAAAATACTTAAAAATATAATAATAAATTAGTATGACATATAATTATGAAAATAGCATATACAAATATAAATTAATACAAATGACTAAGTTATATGTTTCGTTAAAAAAATTCATATCAATTTATAAATCGTATTATAAATGTTCTTTTCTTGTTTTTCTTAAAATTATTTCAGAATAAATTTTAGAAATTAATTTATATTCTTAAAGTATTTTTTTGTTAAACTAACACTTAAAACTTTTTTTTAAGAAATTCAATTTATAATATTTTTTTATCTAAAATCATTTTTTAATAAGTGTTATTTAATAAAAAGACAAATAACTCATTTATGTGAATTATGACAAAAGTTCAAAAAATGAGGGCTGTATTTCAGGGTCATGTTGGTCAATTAATTCAAAGGCCAGCACCGCAAAATTACTTTGGAAGTTCTGGTTTGTTGGGTTTTTCATAGTAAACTTCAGTAATAACTTCAAACATGTCATCTTGTTTCCATATTCTGCTTCTTGCTTTCAACTAAGGAAATGGTGAAGATGAATATTCTTTGTTTTCACCCATCAGCTTCACAAATATTTTAAAATAAGAATAAAAAGAAAACGAGATATTCATTAAAGAATTGTAAATGAAACACAAACCGAAAATGAAAAAATATCCCCTTAATGTGGATTAACCAAAAAATAACTACGAAATTTGGTACTAAGCGAGAGTGAGAGAGCTCCTTAACATCTCATTTAATAATATATCCTACTCAAAATAATTACATAATCAAAATCTAAAAGCAAATCATTCACTAATATAAAACTATTGCAGTTATCCAAAATATACTGTATATTTTAAATACTTACAAAGATTCTACACAACTAATGAAATTTATAATGGTCGAAAGTACAATATTGTTTTTCCAAAAGAAAACTTATATGTGGTGACTAGGTCATCCTAACACTACATCGTTGCATCACCGAGTCCTGCACTGGATTAACTATCACTTCCTCCTCTACTCACATCGGTGATCATTGTAAACAAAGAAAACACACAAATAAAAAGAAACAAACACAAAAGCAAAAGTGAGATAATATGCAAAGAGATCATTCATAAGGCCGACATAAGGTTATTAGTATACATAAAATATTTTGCCAAGATAAAACTCCTAAACTAAGACCTTTGCTCCTCTCATCATGTATCCCATCTTTTTTACTTGAGATTGGATAATTGTTAGAGCGTCAAGATAACCCCAATAATGAATCCAGATATCAATACATACACTAATGAAATGCCACCATAAAATCTTTTCACGAGATCCCTTGAATTATGCCAAACACATACAATGTTCATATCATCAACCAACTCATTATGCAATATAAAAATCATACATATTCCCAACCAACCTTCTAACCAGATTCATGATCATATTGTTAACTCCAAACATGTCATCAAACCAACAATGCAACCACACATGATTTCACACCTTAGTTCTTCACACAAAATGGTCTCAATGCAAGGCATAAACTCTTACAAAATCACATGATATATCTAGGAAATAATGGATCTAATGCAGCTCGAGAGGGGGTGCCAGATTGGATATAGCTGTCTAAGGTCAAACACAACTCGGCCAATGTTTGAAACTCTCCCACACTTAGAAAATCTAAAAACTCTCGCCAAGGTCAAACAAGATCGATACAGTTCGGCAAATCAGTTACTGCTCGATCAAGAAGCGAAAACATCTCGGCCAAGGTCGAACATAGTTTGGCCAAGTTCGGTTATAACTAGACTAAGGTCGGATACAATTCAAGGTCGGTTACAACTTGGTGAAGATTTGAAACCATCTCGGCCAAGGTTGGACACAGTTCAGTCAAGGTTGGATACAACTTGGCTAAGTCTGAAAACATGTAGGCCAAAGTCAGATAAAGTTCAACCAAGATCTGAAAATAGGTCGGCCACGGTCCGACACAATTCAGCTAAGGTTTGGGAACATTTCGGCCAAGATCTAAAAACAGGTCAACTGATGTTAGAAACCGTTTGGCTAAGGTGTGGAAACATTTTGGCCAATATTTAGCAGAGTTCGACTAAGGTCAAGAAACATCTCGACCAAGATTGGACATAGTTCAACTAAGGTCGGGTACGTCTCGACCAAGATTTGACACTGATTCCAAGTTTGCTAAAATATGATATTATGATCAAGATTATCAAATTCGAGAGTTTATAAACTCGTGAGAGTTGAGTAAACTCGACTCGTAAACTCCACTATCAATGAAAAAAAAACATATAATTAGCTTCCTTTACCTTGAGTAAATTGGGGTGTTGACACATTTATTATCATATCTTATTTTATCATCTCATTATTTTGCCTGGTCTTTACAATACTCCCTCTTCCACCCTAACAATTTCAGTTGTAATCTTATACACTCCTAGCTAACAGCTGTAACTAACACTTTCAGTTGTAATCCTATACACTCCTAGCTAACAGCTGTAACTTACACTAATAAGAGGCCCTAATAATTTGTGGGTTGTGGCCATCTATTATTATACCTAAAAAACTAGTCAACCATGTCCAGCTTAACAAAAAAGAATAAATTACGTAGATATCAAAAACCAGATATAAAACAAAACAGCCACTCACAATAAAGAACAAACACAAGTAATGTTTATTTGTTTCCCATTTTCAATTTCAATGTCATCAATACTTCCATCTTATCTTATTTTTAGTAATGTTATTCCAGGTATACTATTCCATCACAAAACTCTGAAATTGCAAGAAAAAAAGTGCCATTTTTTCTCGCCTTCCCATATACATCCTCCTTCTTTGGATACAATCATGTTACAGACACTTCAACATGAGATGTAGCATCTCTACCAACACGAACTGTTGATTAGTTTTCAAGTTCCCTATTCCACCAAAAAAACTCTGAATAAAAGTAAAAATATGAAAGACATTGTTTTTCCATCTGTTTCGCGTTTTCATCTTCAGTGCTGTAAGTTTTCAAATCACAAAAACATCGAAATAAAAAAAAAAAACATTTTTTTCGTGTTACCCCACAGGTATCCTCATTTAAACACAATCCTGTTCAAGATTTCTCAACTCTCCCAACTGCATTCGGAGAAGAAGGATTAGCCCCATTCGCTACATAACAATCTCTAATATAATTTACAATAAAAAACAAAAAAGCCAAAAAAAAACGTTCAAAATCAACAAAACCAAAACACAGCATGTAACTAATTTCTGGAAAAACGGCGTCGCATTGGAAAGGTACCTGAAGGAATCAGTGGTTCTGCTGGGCGTGCTGCCTAGCGTGCTCGAGGTGGCGGCACTCATGGGGGAGAGCGACGATGTAGAGAAGATCATGCCGCCAAAGCAGACATGGAAAATGGGATCGGGAGAATCGGTCTCGATATACTTGGCGTGGTAGTTGCCCATGCCTCGCTGAATCGCTCTCTTTATGTAATTCAAGACCGCATCGGCTTCACATGCTCCGGAACCTCGCTCACCTTCTTCCCCTTATCTAATTGTAGATCTTATCAGCGCCATGGCCTTCTACGCTCCCGCCGCAACAACCCTAGATTATGATTTTGGATTTTACCTTGCAACTATGGCGAATGGAATGTGGTGTTTGTTTCTGCGTGGATGGGTTTTCGGAATTCTCAACCCAACGTCTCAGAGGTCCGCGAGACCCGACCCGACCCGATGGTGTAGCTATGGGTTTCACTCTGTTCAACTTGGGCCGCTACAACCATGCTCGAATGTTGCTATTTAGAAGGAAAATGTTATTTGGACAACAAAAGTTTGACACAATTTTGACAACGACGACGTGGCAGCTGTGCATTGGCTCAGTGAATTGAAAACAAACCAAAAAAACCACAATACCCCTCACCCCGGTTCACTGAGCCAATGCACAGCTGCCACGTCGCCGTTGTCAAAATTGTGTCAAACTTTTGTTGTCAAAATAACATTTTCCTATTTAGAAATAGTAATTTATTTATGGTTTAAGTGGTTGGTTATTTTTAATTAAGTTTCTTTTAAAATTTTATTGAATGAATATGATTATTACTTAAATATTGATTGTTTGCATATTTGTAGATAAAAATAAAAGATAATATAATTAATTTTCAAGTTTTTTTATATTTTAATCGAATATTTATTAAAAAAAATATTTTATTAAGTGTTTACATTCTTTATATTTTTTTAATTAAAGTCTATTATTAATAATGTGATCATTTCAAGTATAATATTACAGATTTCAACCATAAAACATTGAAACCTTTTATTATAGTGATTGACTTAGAGAATGAAACAATGTTGTTATTTTTTTTATAGAGAAGATAATTATGAATTTTCAAAACATTTAGAATTCATATTAATTCTTATTATTTCAAGCAACATGGTAATATTCTTATTAAGTTGAACACCACACAAATCAAAGTGAACCTTCCAAGGGAGACTTTTATAACTTTAAAGAAAACGAAACAAAACTCGACTTTTTCTATTCTTGAAAATTCAACCAACAGATTCTGCAGAAATTTTCGTCAGAAGTAACCCAACTGTCTCGTCAAGATTCATAAAATAGTTAATCCTAAGACATTTCAAAAGTACCATAACACCCTTCTCAGACATAATCAAAACAAAGAAGAAAACAAGAACATCGTTCATTCTTCTGTTTGTTTTTTCTCTTTCCTTCATCAAAGCCATAAAACCGAACCATTTTTAATGAATAATGGGAACGTTTCAGAGCTTCAGAAAAGCCTATGGAGCTCTCAAGGATTCTACCAAGGTTGGCCTTGCCAAAGTCAATAGCGAATACAAGGTGATATATGATTTATTCATTATGTTATACGTAAAAACGCATGCATGCATGCATGCAAACGTATTTTCTCATTCTTTTGAAATTTCAATACATAGATTGATTCTGTTCCATTTTGTTTATAAAGGAGTTGGATATTGCAATTGTAAAAGCTACCAATCACGTGGAATACCCTCCCAAGGAGCGTCATGTTCGAAGTATATATATGTTAATTAAAATACAATTTACAGTTTCTGTTGAATAATCTTCCTCAAAATATAATGATACTTTTACATTTTGATGATATCATATGACATCTCACAAAACTTGCTCATTTCCAAAGCTTCTATTCATCAGTTTATGTTTGTTTGTTTTCCTATTCGTTTCTCATTATTCTCTGGTATATAATATTCCTTAAATTGTTTGCAGAAATATTTTATGCAACATCAGCACACCAGCCTCGAGCAGATGTATCATACTGCATTCATAAACTTTCTAAGAGACTTTCCAAAACACGAAGCTGGATAGTAAATCCTTTTTTCATACTCATATACATCTTCTTCTAAAATCATTGTGAACTAGATCATCTTAAGAACATAATTTTCAGATATGACATGGTAATAGTATAGGAATAGGAATAGCGTAGTTCATGATATTGTTATTTTTTTATTTCTTCATGTATACTAGGAAAAAAGTAATTGAAAAAAGGAAGAATAAAAGAATGAAAATATATAAAGTAAATCATGGTTATAATCAATGACTTATGATGTGTTCATCTATTATCATAGAGCTAAATTAAAAGTTAACTCATACATTTAGAGAAAAGAACTGCACACAATTTTACTGAGAAAATGAAATTTTTATGATTGTAATTGAATGAATGACAGGTTGCTATAAAGGCATTAATAGTCATTCATAGGACTTTGAGAGAGGGTGATCCTACCTTTAGAGAAGAGATCCTTAACTACTCACGCAGGGGACATATTCTCCAAATATCCAATTTCAAAGATGATTCAAGTCCTCAAGGTAAATTAATCACTTATGCAGATAAACTTGTTATAATTAACTATTTTGAATATCTTGGCCTTTTTCTTTCTTATTCAACATTTTTCCATTACATGACCAATTATTCAACTTATCCTTGTAGCATGGGATTGTTCTGCATGGGTTCGAACCTATGCACTATTTTTGGAAGAAAGACTTGAATGCTTTAGGGTGCTCAAATATGATATAGAATCAGAACGTTTGACAAAAGCATCACCAACTGCAACTAAAGTGTGTGTTTTTCCTTGTCTTATTCACACTCAAGTTTATTTTTCAAGCATCATATTTCTGTGTTCATCAGAATGCTATTGAGTTTTTCCACTTTAACAGGCACACAGTAGAACTTGATCACTGAATAGTGAGGAGCTGTTGGGGCAGTTACCTGCACTGCAACAACTCCTATATCGTCTTATTGCTTGTCAGGTATATATGGCCTAATGGGAAATTTCATAATTGATGACTTAAATTTCTTGTATTCCTTACCATTGAATTTTCTTCAATATGTTACAGCCTGAAGGATGCTCTTATAGCAACTACCTAGTGCAGTATGCATTGGCTCTGGTATGCATTTTATTGTTTTATATTTGCATTCTCAACATAATAGCAATTTGAGTTTCATCTCAGAAAATGATTAACGTGATTAGTTATGGATAACTTTAGTTGTAGTCATATTCATTCATACCTGAACTACTATCTGTCAATTGCATAGGTTTTTTATGTTATTATTAACTTAGACTGATCTTTAATGTTAATCTTGATTACAACAATTATCAAAGTGCAACTGTAACTGAGGAATTTGCTTCTAAATTTTGTCTAAATTCCTATCTGCATGATTCTGGTTGTTAGATAATGTTACTCTTGACTTGAATTCAATTAATAAATGACTTCCATTCATAAAAGATCACTGTGATTTGATGAATTACACAATGAAATTACTACTTTTAAAGAAATGTATCTCGTACAACTTGTGTCTCATTTTTCATTTCTGATATTTTGAGCTATGTGTCATTTAGGTTTTGAAAGAAAGTTTCAAAATATATTGTGCACTCAATGATGGAATCATCAATCTCGTGGATATGGTAGTATCTATATCATGGTTTAATTTACCACTTGATCATTTTATTTGATATTCAAATCACACTAACTAGTGAAAATCATAGTTCTTTGATATGACAAGGCATGACGCAGTGAAGGCTCTAAACATTTATAAAAGAGCTGGTCAACAGGTTTACAATAATATTTTTTTTAACACATTCTAATTGATGTCTAATATACATAAAATTTTATGTTTTATAAGGTGTTGATGTTCTTTTATGAACATTATGCAGGCTGAGAATCTTGCTGACTTCTATGAATATTGCAAGGGCTTGGAACTTGCCAGGAATTTCCAGTTTCCAACACTGAGACAGGTTCTTTTTGTTTGTTAGAGTAAGTCATATGATATTATGAAAGGAAGAATGTAACAAATTTTTTAACTATATAAAAACAGCCACCTCCCTCTTTCCTTGCAACTATGGAAGAATACATTAGAGAAGCACCTCAAACAGGATATGTTAACAGGAGATTGGTAAGAGAAGACGATCAGGTTTCACAATTTATTCTTAGAATTATAGTTAACAAAATTTGTATCAGTGTCATTATTTGTTGTTTCTGCAAGTCTCACATAACACTACCTTATTCAGCTTTCATCATTTTTCATAAAAATAAAAAACTTGGTCTCATGCTTTATAAAAGTACTCAATCTTGCAATGTAATAAATGTCATTCAATATCAGGAATATGAAGAAAATGATGAATCATCTAAAGAAGATTCAGAATCCGATGAAACTGAAGAGCCTGAAGAAAATGAAGAACACTATGAGGAATTCAACGAGGAAGATTCGGTAGCAGGGGATGAAGCACAATCTAAGGAGGAGGTGGAGGTGGAGGTTGAGCCTCCTCCTTTGATATCAACCGATGATGGTGCAAATGATTTGTTGGTATGTGTTGATTATAAAATAATATTTTCTATGGATGCTTGTGATGTTCACTTAATGGAATGAATACACACTTCACCTTTGCAGGGACTTAATGAAATAAATCTAAAAGCTATGGAACTGGAGGAAAACAATGCTATGGCTCTTGCAATTGTACCACCTGGTGGTAAGGACTAAAGTAATTGATTGACAAATATCAAGTATTTCATATAAGCCTTTGCTGATATTGCACTTTGCTTCATTGATCCATACCTTAAAGTTTCAGAGCTTTACATTTTAACAATCATCCAATGCTTGTTGGGATTCTCTAATATAAGCAAGGACAAGTTTTATATTTACAGTTAGAAATTTCAAGTGAGTCTAAGTCCTATATTAGATAAAAACAATATCAGATAAAAACAAGAATGTAGAACATCGTATAAGGTTAAAGATTCATTAACATATTGTTTTAAAGTTTTGAGTAGAGAGTCTCTTGTATGATTGGACTCAGATTTCATTTATGTTGTATCTTTTTACTGAACCTTCTCCGTAAATCTAACTATTCTTGAATCCAAAGAAGGGTTATTTTTTCAATTTTTTCACATAGACAGATGTATTAGAAAGATTAATATGCAGGTAAGTAATTAAACTATTTGTTGTTTGACATTATTGAATTCTAAAAGTTTAAAGTTTGTGTAGGAAGTAACCCAAACAATCTTACTTTGAGTACCATTGATGGAACTACTGGTTGGGAACTTTCATTAGTTACAGCACAAAGTAAACATACTGGTCAAGCCACAGATCGCAAAATGGTTTGTTTCTCTACCATAGTAATATCAATTACTTATTCACCTTTACCTCTTCATTTGATTTCTCATACTAAAACTACTGATATGTGTTATGACTGCCCAATTTTAAGATACAACAGAAGAACAATAAAAGAAAACTCAATCGAGAATTCAAATTCGTTAATCATGATGCAGAAAAATATTAACACAATTCTTTTTGCCTCCTTTATTATTAAGCCAGGCCGGTGGTTTTGATACACTGTTATTGGACAGTCTGTATGAAGATGAAAATGCCAGAAGACAACTTCAACTCCAAAATGCAGGTTATGGACATGGAGGAACCGCCATGGATGTACAGAACCCTTTTGATCATTATAACCAACAAGATCCTTTTGTAATGTCCAACAACATAGCACCTCCAACCAATGTGCAATTGGCACTAATGGCTCAACAGCAACAACAGCAGCAGATGATGTTCCAACATCCACAAATGTTGTACCAACAACCACAACAACACAACATGATGATGATTCCTCACCAGCAGCAACCACAAAACCAATACTCTCAACAGATGCACAATCCAGATTCTCATAATCCATTTGGAGATCCTTTGCCATTACCAAACTATAATCAGAATTACATGCCCCAACAAGGAAATTACAATTTAATGTAGATTTTGCCTTTATTGTGATTTGATCTTCTCTTTTTTTCCTCACTGGCAAAAATAATTTATTCTTTTTGTGATAGAAGTATACATTTTTTTTCATGCGTTTTAACATTCTTTGACTAGTTAATGACATGCTTTTTTTTTCATCTGTATAGTTATCAGTGATTCATCTATACAGTTTCTCAAGGATTCGTATATCTTAAACCTGATTATAACACATGATTTTGATGATAATACATAATATCATAGTTTAGTGTGTGGAACAAAACTACTTAATATATAACAAATTACACAAGTTTATAAGGTTGAATGATCACATAGACTTTATTCATAGGTAGACTAGATGATCAAAGAGCTCAGACAAAGTTATGTTAAATGCAAGTATGTGAAGGTCAAACAAAATCTACATAATGTGTGATGCAAAAGTGAAGGCCAAACAAGGTCTACAGAAAGCACTAGATGAAAGTGCATGAAGACAACACGAAATGTGAAGAAGTGTCGAACCAAAATACATGAAGAATAAACACAAGTGAAATGATGTGTTAGATGAAAGCACACAAAGACTAGGCACAAGTCAAAACAGGACATAAATATAAAAACATGACACATGTTCAAAACAGATGAAATTAATATGTGAAAATCATAAAACACTTCGTTATTGCTAAAATGTCCACCTTTTAAAGAAAGTTGTATCATACTTTCCAAAGAAGATTATGACAAAACACATCAATCCTATGAGTTTGTATGCTACATATCGTGTTTTTCATAAAAAAAAAGGAAAATGAGGTATTCACAATCCATGTTCGTTGATTACACTAGTTAAAACTAGGCTTAATACCCTATTTTGTCTCCAGTTTCGCTCGACAATGTCAAATTAGTCCATCCTTTAAAACGTGCGTCAATTACGTTCCTACTTAATAAAATTTATATCTATGAAATTCCTTCCCTTAAATCCGTACAAACGGTGTTAATTATTTCTCTCTCTCTCTTCTATTTAATGCCGTTTGTATGGATTTAACGGAAGGGATTTCATTGATATAAATTTTATTAAGTAGGAACATAATTGACGCATGTTTTAAAGGATTGACTAATTTGATATTGTCGAGCGAAACTGACTGGGGACAAAATAGGATATTAAGCCTTAAAACTATCCATGAAAAAGTAAAAAAAAAAACACGTAAGTCAGAACAATCCTTTTTAGGACCTTTATAAATAGAAATTATGTCCTATGAAAGAAGAAAAAATAATAATATATATATGATACATGAAAAATATTTTCAAAACTTCTCAATATTTATTATAAAAAGATTATTTGTTGAACAACTTTAGGATAAGAACCGTATTTGTAAATATTTCACTTTTGTAAAATTGATCTATAGTACAATAAGTAATTAGTTTATATATTTTTATAAGAACTTTTCTTGTACATACCTAAACAACTTTTGATATAGTGTACGTTACATTATATACTCAACTCCCATGTACTCAGTCAAAAGTGACAACGTGTACTTATTTTTTATCTTAAAGAAGGTAAAAAAAATATTTAGAAGTAGTTAAAGTATTTATCCATGAGATAAAAATATAATTATAATCATATTTTATTAGTGAAACCCATAATAATCATGTTTTATTAGTATTTGTTATAGAACATCTAATATCTTGAATAGGGAAAATTTCAATAAATATAATTAAGTTATTAAAAATTGATTTAATTAGGTATAATTTTGATAAGTACTTTTAACAACTAATCTATCCCCCATAATATTATAAACAGGCTGTTTTTCAAATTTTTTCAAAAGTGTTATTTTAATGAACTATTCATTTGTTATAATCTTTAATACTTTTGGCTGCCCCTGTTCTGAGGTAAAACGGAACAAAAAGTTAATTTCCACCTTTTTTTTCTAGAAACATATTAAAGTTGTTTCTATGAAAAGGTTTGGTAGAAAAGAGATCAATACTTGAAAAAAACATGGAGCGTTGTTTATTATTTTTGTAGTGACATTGCATGTGAGTATATCTGCAATCATTGTTAAACTCATTTTGGAAATCCTTATGCTTTAACAGAACTTGTTTCTTAAACACATTGCTCTGCCTTTCCATGGGAAACTATTTCTTCAAATACAAATAAAC